CTACAGAGTTTCCCAGAATAATATTACTACATATTTTGGGCCTTCCATTCTTGATCTATAGCATGTTATAGAGGAAAATCACAACAGCAAGAACAGCAACAGATGTTCAAAATATCCAACATGAGCACCCAAATAAGATCTCTGATGTCAAACAATGAAAGTGCAATGCAGTAATATTATTCTGGGAAATTCTGTATATAAACATAGATCCCAATGAGACATGAAGAATATATATTGTAACGTGTCTTGAGTTCGAATCTTGTTCGTCACGTGTGTAAGTCCAAATCCCACTTCTGACACCAATGTAACGTGTTTCGTTACTGACTACGCCATAGAGATCGTTAATTGGTTTATTTAACAACCTACAAGTAATGGCTACAATTAATTATAACACAGTTGCGGGTTTCACACTTTACAAACCCTACAACCAAATCTCTTCACACTATCTTCAAGAGTCTTCACGTATTAATAACGCGGGAGCTATACAAATCTCTCTGAGTTGCACACTCCAAATATAATTGTACTACAGCACTCACTAAGTCTCGAAAGCACACAATAAGTCTTCTGCTCGCTGACTTCTTAGTTATCGCACACTGTCACATAAAATCTTGTAACCACGCGTTCAGGTCTTATCACGACTGCTGCTATATGTCAACTCGACCCGCAGGCTCCTACCTTGAGAACTGTTGATAACACACTGGCTCTTGCTTGCTGCTCAGCCGGCTTTTATTCCGTTCGCTGTTACCTGTTGCCCGCCACGTCACAGTAGGAAGTGGTGCCGCATCACTGTCNGCGAATGTGAAATAAAATTCGCTATATCAAATATGGCGTGAAGTTACTTGTCGCGTTACCTACACACATGACAATATTACTACATATTTTGGNCTGTTACCTCGCGCCGTCTTACGTCACTGCGCGTTGCGCGTTACGTCACCGCGGAGGGGGGGGGAGGGTGCGCTGACTCATCCGCCACGTCACTGTGGCCTGAGTTGCCACGTTATTGCTGGGTAGGGAGGGGTTCTCCATTGCGCAACATGTCACAATATCTTAAAAAAAACCCAAGCATGTATTCTAAGTGCTAATACATCTGACTTGTAATAGAGAGGTATTTAGTCTGAATCTTGGTAAGAGCACCATTTACTCTCAGGTTTTGTTTCCTTATACAATCCAAGTGAATACTAGAAGAACAGCTTTCAATAGGCCACCTACACTTTCCAGTTCACCATCATATATTTGTCTGTACACAAGTTTAATCCTTTCTTGCACAAAATCAAACAGTTTCTTATGCTAGGAAGAAGATGAATTATTAACCCCTCAATCAAGAAAAACAAGAAATTGTTGGACAAGTTACAGCTGGCTTTCAGTTCATAGTTCACTAATACTGTCCAACTGAAACAGAAATATTCTAATAACATTCATACAGGAATATGATATAAATTCCATGTCAGGTGGGTCCCTTGTCACTACAGCATGGCACCTCCTCAGGTTGCAGATGGAGGAGATGTCCTTCAGATATAGAGGGTAGTTGTGAATATATTGAATAAGCAGTCACAAATAGCTGACAAGAGGTGTTCCTACAGCTTGGGGGTTGGATGAGGGCCAACAACTCCTCACCATAGCAAAATAAGATCGTTATGAAATGTCATGAAGGACCTTGGACTTGAATGGATTCTTTGGATAAGCGACCTAAGCTAAACAAAAAGGACAAGAGATTTGGTATATGGAAGTAAGAAGTCTGTATAGGGCAGGTTCGCTCATGACAGATGCAAAAGAAATATCACATTGTAACGTGCTTGGAGTAGATACTTCCATGGTAACACAGTAACAGTGGGCCGTTGCATAGGAATTGCAGAATCAACAAAGCAGCGTTTCCCCAAAGATGAACAACGTTTAGTAACAACGGATGAGACGAAACTCGTTATCAGCGTATAAAGAGCGTTCCCGAAGCAATGGATTGCCAAACACGTGAAATCGAATCTTGGTGAGGGGTGTCCTCTACTGAGTCCACAGAACACCTATATAAGCTGAGAGCTACAGGCAGCAAGAACACAGTTGGAACCTAGTCACCATACGATACAGACAGAAGACAGTTGAGATCCAGCCACAGTCAGGGACAGTTGAAAGATAGCCGCTGCAGAATACAGTTGAAGTGATAACAATTGTAAGGTGTGTAAGACTGAGTGTTCAATAAAGATTCGCTAAATCTGAGGCCCACGTAAAGTTATTTGTTGTGTGACACACCCAACACGTGACAATATTTTAAGTTAGACTTAGTGGGAGTATGGGAGGTCAGATGGAACAAAGGTGGCAATGAACCAGCATGCGAACATACATATTTCATGGAAAGGGAAATGAGAATCGTGAATAAGGTACAGGTTTTTTCATACATAAGAGAATCATATCAGCAGTTAAGAGCTTGTTAGCAATAGGATGTCACAAGAGGTCGCTGGTGGGTATCGTTCTGAATATTCATGTGCCAACAGAGAATAAAATTGATGATATGAAGGACAGCTTCTAAGAACAACTAGAACGTACATTCAATAAATTTCCTAAACACCATATGAAAATGATATGATATGTAGTTCCCATGGTGAAGACTTTTTCATGGACTTACACAGGTTAAAATTCTATGTTAAAAACTGGGCCATCTTAAGGATAAAGAAGCAATTTATTCACTGCTTGAACAGAGAAATGAGGGAATGAGATGAAAGTATGAGGATGATGGGAAGGAAAAATGGGTGTGATGGATGAAAGCACAAAAAACTGATGCCGCACTAAATTTTTTTGAAGATTATTTCACAACACTGTCAGCATCTCAAAGCATATAGTGTCAAATGGCAAGATGATTAATGAATAATGAATTGAAAAAGATTTGGTAGAAAGTGGTTGTGACCTGATCAAGGTATTATAATGACTTTCTCCTGGAGGGTCTGTGGAAAACCATGATAAACCTCAGTCAGGATAGCAATTGTCCTGGCCAAGATTCATAGTCAGCACCTACTGAATACAAGTCTTCATCACTGTTGCTACTCCAATCTGTTCTATGACTTCGTACCGAATTTCAACAAACTTTTCCACTAGCACCTAATTAATCCATAACATTAACTGAAATAGTCTCTCTGATTCTTTCAATATGGAATATATAAGTACCATAACAAATAATTTATGATGTCTGACAATTAACAATGCAAAAGAGATTGCATCAAGAGAATGACTCATTTCAATTTTACAAACAGTGATGGTCTTTCCAGTACCTTGAGTTCTTCTTGGCGCCTGTAAGCATGAAGCATCATCTGCTTGCGGTCTTCTTCACTGATCACCGGCTCTCTTCCAGGAGGACCCTGTCCCTGCTTCTGTAGTTTCACTATCACTTTGGTTTTCTCATTTCGACCCAAATAATCTGCCATCTTCTTACCACGATACATTTCTTTGCCAGAAAACCATAACTGTGCCTGGGTGACCTCTATAACCTACAAGAATATAAAAAGGGTATTTTAGGTTCAGTTTATGTCACCTTTAATACAAAAATCTATAGTCATGTAATTATAGTGATCAAAAACAGAAGTGCTTATTGGCATTGAACAAAGTCTCACTTCAGATGAAAGGGACCATCTGGTGGAATGTTCCTGAAGATACAGATGACATGCTCCTCCAAAACATTGCTTGACTTTCAGTGGACTACATAGCGTTATATCCCAAAAGATATGTAGAACTCTCTCTTTGTGTGAACATTATACCAATGAAGGCCATCCTCATTAATACTTTTAACTTTACTTAGATCACAATATATACAGGGTGTCCCAGGAGGAATGTGCCAAACTTCGGGAGGGTGTTCCTTATGTTAAAGTATGCCGATATAACCCAAAACACCTATGTCCAAAGTTGAACGGTTACGGAGATAATGGCC